CCCAAAACCCCAAAACCCCAAAACCCCAAAACCCCAAAACCCCAAAACCCCGGAATATGATGATTTAATTGATTGAATAAATATTAATTATTCCATGTTTCTATATTGTTGGGCAAGTCTTTGGATATTTGTTTTTGCTGGTCTAGTTACTTTCTTTTTATACTTTCTTCTTACAACTGCTACCCCGGCCATAACTCTTCCTCTATTATCCCCTCTTGGTCTCTGATCAGGGATATTCCCTGGATCTAACTGAATAAGTCTGATTCGTGCTGGCCTTGCTGGAGGCATTCTTCCAGGCAAAACTTCTCTTCCACCTCCATTTCCTCCTCTTCTTGCAGCTCTTACCCTTCTTCTTTCTCTGACTCTTCCATATCCTCCTTCACATTGACACTTATGAGCATCGTTATATTGCTTGCCACAGTGATATCAAAAGGATGCTCCTCATCTGCAGGTCATCGCGTTACAGCCAGTGATCTTATATACCCAGATCTTGCATTGTGGGCACCTCTTCATATTCTCTTTCAGAGCAAAGTCTATAGCTTTCTTGTCATTAATGTCCAGCTTTTCCTATAAAATGATGATAATCCAAAATTGAGTAATTTCTTACACTTCCATTTAATTCTTTGTTCTTTGCTCATGTCATGCCTAAAATAAGCAGTTGGGTCTTACCTGGATGCCATTTGGTCTCTCAATCAATGCAATATTCTTTGGTTCACATTGGGCATTGGAAATAGCCCTTCTCATCTTCATCGTCCAGACAGAAGACATATTCTCAGTTGTCACTTGGACAGTTGATGAAGTTCTGAGCTTGCTTCTGAACACCTAGTTTGAAAGAGAACAAGTTAAATCTTTCAATGTAGTTTTCATCAAGGAGATCTTTGAATGTGGCCATCCCAAGCTCTAGATTGCAGTCTTCAATCGGACACTGAATAGGAATCTTGTTCTGGTCAATTGAAGTAGTCAGGTGCATTTCTAGACAATCTTTGTGGAACAAATGACCGCACTGATCGATGGAGTAAGCCTCTTGATACTCAATTTCCATGAGGCAGATTTTGCATTCTCCAATAACTTCTTGCTGAACTTCTTCAGCAGAGGCATCTGGAGGGTCGATTTTCTCTTCTTCATATAGTTCTGGGTATTGATCTCTCGGGTAGATATCTTCTAAAGCATGAGGCTGATCCTGAATTTCCATTTTAGCCTCCTCTACTTTTGATTCTTCTTTCTCTGAGTCATCTAAAGAAGGATTATTAAAGTCTCTCATGAACAATTTTGTTAATTTCTTCTTTTGCAAAGCTAGTTTATATGATACTTGATATTATGAGAATTTAGCCATTAATCTTTTTAATGTCTTTAAAGCAAACTTTATTCTAAAATTCATGCAAAAAAGTCAGCAAGCTTAATATATACTATAGAGCGCCAATGAAGGATAATTTGCGCTGAACTTGATGAGTTTCTGTTTGATATTTCGATAAAAGAATTTACTTAGAATTTTAAACATTTCAAAATTTCTGTGCAAAATCCGATCAAAAAGAAGAACTCTTACCGTCATGATGGCTTTGTCTGATGAATTCATTATAGTACATCAGAGCCTTCTGCTTCTCACTAAGTTCTTGTTCCTGGGCTCCGAAGGATAAATCTGCCACTACTGCGATAGCGTTCTCTAAGGCTTCTAAAAGATACATTGATTCTTTGAAGTTGGAATTTGGATGATAAGTCTTTTACAAAAATCTTCATTATTTTCAAAAAATAAAAATTCCTCTAGCATTGCAGAGAGGGATACAAGTCGATGAACTTCCATCAAAACTTGTTCAGAATATCTCCAAAGAGAATTGACAATATCTATGATTATTAATTGTGCGAGAAGACAAATTTTAAAGCATCTCATCTTTGCACGATTCTGATGATTTAATCAAAATTATTCAAATTATCCAAAAATATGCAAATTTTGAAATATTAAGCCCAATCTAATTCTAAAACAACAAAAATTCTCTACGAAATAACTTACCCCATTTCCCACCATTAAAACTCCCTAAAAACATCTGCGAGAACCAAATTTTAGATTATTATCTATTCCTCTACCAGAACTAAACACCCATATTCTCTCATCCTTCCCCAAATTGTAACTAAATTCTTTCTCCCTTGACTCCATAAATACGAGCCTAACTTCCTAACCCAAGTGCTAATCATGGGCATCCGAAGGATGACTCAAATGATCCCAAAGATTAAAAGTGGGTCAGAGCGTACCTAAATCTTCATCTCCTTCACTATTCTGGCTGGCCAGATACCCCATGTAGAAGTACTCCTGTGGGCCAAACTGGTGCTTAACCTCCTCCATAAGCTCATAAGTCTGTTCGAACTGACTCAAGTCTACCTTCCCAATTTCCATTTTAGGCTTAACTTAGGTTTAAATTTTACAATGGAATTTAGGAAAGAGGGGTTTTGGGGTTTTGGGGTTTTGGGG